TCATTAATATTATGATTATTTTAGTATTACTAAATAATTTCCAGTTACTTGCTAATGGAAATTGCTAAAAATCGTAGTGACAAGAGTTCAAGTAGTTTGAACTCGAGTCTGCACTTCATTTTACCCTGAGCAAGATTCACTTGAGCTTTGTTGAAAGTGTTAGAAAACTATAGTAAAACTAGTCATATATCTTTTAACAACTAGCCCGTGACGTTTGTCGTTTATAAAAGGTCAGACTTGTAAAGTTATACATAGTTTTTGTCGTAAAAACGGTCGATTTAAAACCAGAAAATCGTTTGTTCGTTCTTGCACAGATATAACAATAGAGCTTTGGAGATCGAATTAATAACCTTTTGAAATTTTTGATTTACAAACTTCCACCTGAGTACTTATCGATACCATGAAAATGAATAGACTTAATGACACTTTTTGAGGACTAGTTTTTAGCTTTGAGTGTTTAATTTCATGAATGGTTGCGCGCTTCGTGGACAAGAGCCTCTTTATTCTCGGTAACCAATAGCAACAAGTTCTCTTTAGTTCAAAACTAAAACACTACAAGAATCAATTTTTAAAAAGTCATTTATTCTTAGACAAATATTTTTTAAAGTAAAAAAAAGGCTTCTTGATAAGCTAAAAAGTCAGGAAATTTATATTTAAGGCCAGATGAAGGAAGATGGTATATTTAGTTTTAAGTCGTCAAGAGTTGTAGTAAATCATGTCAAACTGAATATCCCAAGTATTCAAACTCTAATTTCGTGACTTCAAGACATTTCTGGACGACGCTTAAGAGGTTGATAATGAGGGGGTGTTTTAGTCTTGGAGATAACGTTGAATGAGCTACTTATCCATCGCAATACTCATCAATGAAGTTCAAGTGGCAAGTTTTTGACTCTATTCGTTCTCTGTCGAAAGTGTTGAAGTCATACTTCAAAACCAATTGTCTTGGCATCTATTTGAAGCTTGGAATTGAAATCAAATGACAGATAAACCCTTAATGTTCGTCTTTTTTTATAGTTTTTGAAGTATAGTAATTTTATAACGGCCGCAAGGTACGGTTTACTGTTCTTTACTTATGGCTTAGAACATGCAACATTTTCTCAGATCAGAATTCAATGTACTTTTGTCAAAGGTTTTCTATTTATCACTGAGTATAGAGTATGATTTATACATCATATTATTCATTTTAAAAAAAGTTGTTTTTTTTTTGGTAAGTAATATAAAGTAAAATCGGCGATTTGACTGAGGTCAATAGTTTTCGTAATGACTTCAGAAAAAAAGATAGATAGAAAGTAAAACAGAAAGGAAGAAAGAAAGAGAAAAAGAGAGAGGAAAGAGGAAAGAATGAGGAAAACTGAACCAAGGAGAGCCGAAGAAATGGAAGAAGAAGAAGAAGAAGAAGAAGAAGAACAACAACAACAACAACAACAACAACAA